CAAGTTTAAAAGGACCTATCTACATCTTACAGTGATGTAAAACTTGTCCTGTACAACATGGATCATAGCATCACTTTCGACTGTTTAGGGATGGAAATATATTTGATATTGTAATAAGGAAAGGAAATGTGCTGATTCATGTACAGTTGTGGGTTTTTTTAGTTTATCAGTGCAGTTCACAAACACAAAACGAGTGGGAGGGGGTGAATATAATGCTGGGTGGCTGGGTTTGGGGGACATGTGTGGGAAGGAATTAACTGTAAAGAACTTTCTGCCCAAATGTCTGTTGTAATGGAAGGCAAAAAGGAATAGGGGTTGTGTGCAAGAGTTTTCCCCATGAAAAATGTTAAACTTTTTGGAGAGGACACACTGCATGCGGTGTTGAGGAAGGTAAATAATGAATGTGAAATCTTGTGAATCCTTGTGTGTGAGTGTAGGGGGGTAGTAGTTGTGAGTTAAGGGTTAATGTGAGAAGAGTATATGGCATTATGGGCTTAGTTTTTTTAAGGTTTGCAGTGGTTGACAGACAAGCACAACAGAAGCTGATGTCGGGAATTAGAAGTGGTGAGTTGCTGAGTTCTGCTCTCTTCTACTGTGCATAAAGGTGTTTCTGATTCTATATTTCATGCAAACTTTTAATCTAAGTAGTTGTAAACTTCCTCAGGTATCCTATTTTTACTGTGTTTATAGTCCTCCTTGGAGAGAGACAAAGCAGATTACACAGTGTAAATTCTTAACAGTCCATGCATAGAGACATTTGATAGGCACACCGTAGGCTGATAAAATCAGTATGAAGAGACTTTAAATGAGCAATGTACTAGGACTAGGATTACTGAATTGCTGAAATCTGAGCGAGTATAGCAGACATTCAAATTTGCATGTCATATGTACTCTGGTTCAGGTGTTGGTTTATTGTGCCAAGAGAGATTCTAAGTGCTTTACAGTATGGAAGGAAATAAAATAAGCTTTCTGAGCTCTTCAAAATTTATAAGCACTTCAGAATATTTTGTTTTACATCTTCATATGTTACCAACTACAATAACTAGATCAAATTTTGGTATGCATGGTATTCAATATCTAAAGAACTAGAGATCTTTTGGAAATTCAAGGTTTTTTAAAAAAAATGCTTGCAGGGTGGATAGTCCTGCTAGCACCAGCTAGTTCTCATTCTTGTCTGTTCTTTGTAGGTAACCATGAGCGACCGAAAGGCTGTGATCAAGAATGCGGATATGTCTGAGGAGATGCAGCAGGACTCTGTGGAGTGTGCTACACAGGCCCTGGAAAAATACAACATTGAGAAAGACATTGCTGCCCACATAAAGAAGGTACTTGATTATTGCTGTACAATGACATTTAGAATATTTAGTACAAAGAAAGTAGTTCCAAGAAAGAAAATCTGGGCTGAGATAGAGAAAGCAGTTTACAGTACAAACATATGCAGCTACTGAAGCCCAGGGTAGCTGAAGTAACTCTGCATAAGATTCCTTAGAAACCCATTTCTAACTAAATACATAGGAATAGGCCTACATATATCTTAATTTGTAAAGATGGTATGTTTTGAGAGACTTAAAAGTGCTCTGGTTTGCCTGAAAATAATTTCTGTAGCCTGGGCATGTGTGTCTTTTTGAGTGACTCCTAGAATGTTAGCTAAGCATCTGTAGTTTAGTATAGCTAATGAGATGATTCAAGCCCTGTATCACAAGTGGTAGGGCTATACTAATTGAAGTCAGTCAGTGTGAAGACACATAGCTACATTTCCATGAGGACTGGAAATGTGTGGGGAGGAGGTGGACACACTACAAATTTAGTGTGTTTTTATAACTGTAGAAGCATACTGAGGTTATTTCAACAATGTTGGTGACTTGAGGAACCGATTGCTGTTCTAGCAGTGAGACACATGACTGACTAAAAGCTGGTTATACTAGTCTCAGACTAGCACAGGGCTTAAAGTTTGGCTGCAGTAAGACTTATGAAAAGCTGTTTGTGTGAGTTTTGATATGTCCTGGTTCTGGAAGTATGTTGAATGTAAGCCACTCCAAATCTCGGTTCGGAATATTCAGCTTCAGTGCATCAGTGGTCATATTTTATCATAATAAATGTTCTTGCAACAATAGCATCTGAAGCAGTACAAGGGATATTTTTCTCCTCTTTCAGAAAGCAGCTCAGCCAAGCCTAAATTCTTAATGCTTTTGCATTCTATTAATTTACATGGTGTAGTCCCTAAACCTTCAAAAATGGACAATCAGTCTTGGTTCACAAGAGCCTCTCTATATTCTCATTGCAAAATTTCCATAATATTTTTTGTGGCCATGGCTAAAGTGTTACACCAGTCATTTTATTTTTGTAGATCCTTAATGATTGCCTACTCTAAAAAAGAATCCAGATTTTACATAGACAAGTACTATACTACTAGTGGTATTCTATTACTGCCCATGTGCAAAGTCTGGCCACTGCTGCAAGATGTGATTGCCACCATCTTGCATGGCTTTAAAACATGAGGCAAACTGATTATATGCCTATTAACACTTGTTAGTCTTGATGGCTGAATGAAGATAATCAGATGCGGTGTTGCTGGGAGGCAGCAACAGGAAAGGTGGTTATCTTTACACACTGCCTGTTGGATTCCTGAAAGCATCCGACTGGTTACTGTGAGGATGCTGAACTATATGAACCTTGTGGGTGCAGTCTTTTAATTTCTTAGTATACAGGAAGAACAAAAGTGGTGATTACACTGTGTTAAAATACATTTCAAAAGGTTAAAATGCAGTAAACTTTTGCAGTTGAAATGTTTAGCCAAAATGCTGCATGAACCTGTTAACGTCTGTTGTACTAAGTTCTTTAGTGACTCTTTTTCAGGAGTTTGACAAGAAGTACAATCCTACTTGGCACTGTATTGTGGGAAGAAATTTTGGCAGCTATGTGACTCACGAGACCAAACACTTCATCTACTTCTACCTAGGCCAAGTTGCTATTCTCCTCTTCAAATCTGGTTAGAACATGGGATCGTTCCACCCAAACATGCGTTTGATTACAAGACTGCGCACTAATTCCAAATAGACTGAAGTCTTCAGCCTTCCCCAGGGAACATATCTTGATCTTCAAGCCTTTTGTTGTTTTAATGGACAGGTACTCTTCTGTACCAATTTGTGTTTTTGTTGTGGCCATAAAAAATAGCAAAAAATAATCTTGTATTTTCTTTTTTTTAAAGTTCCTTTTCTAATAAAATGATTGGCCGTGCACTCAGCCTTTCAGAATTAAGAGCCCATCTCACGTTTCCATTAGCTTCTGTATCTCCAGATTTAACAGCTTTAGCTGTATTTGTCCTGCGCTTGTTGCTGAGCTATTGCTTTTACCTACCAAATACTGGAATTTCATGGGGTGGCCAGGTGTCTTCGTTGTTCTGGCCCACATTTCATTTCATGGAGGTATAGATACTAATCTCAAATAAAGGGGAAGGTATGAGCTGCAAACAGGAGTTTGTGCACACATTTCTTCACTGGGTTTGCTGTAGATCCAACAGTAGTTAATTTCTTTGGGCTTGGCCTGCTGGTTTGCTAAACCAGCATCTCAGTGGCGTGAAAACAAGGGATGGAATAAAGTGCAGTCCTGACTTTTCTTCATTCCTGTTATCCTGGCCAGCTGAAATATCAGCTTTAAATAAGGCCTCCCACCAAAGGTGTGCCTCTTGAGTAATGTACATGCAATTTTTTGTGTCTGCTGGTATGTTGGTTGCCAGCCTTGGTGACTGGATCAGCCACTGATTTTCCAAGGTAACTACAACAGTGTGTTTTTTAAAGTGCCATCTGCAAAGATTTGTGCTGCAGGTCCCAGTATACCACAAGGAACTAGGTGATTTTCCTCTCCCTCTTCCAAACCTGGGTATAACAAGGATCCTGGTGTCTCTTCACAAATAGGGAGACATGAATGCTTTTAGCTGGTGGTCCAGCTTTGCAAGCTGTTGACTCCTGAGCTTATTGGATCCTGAATTCCATATCCTGTACTAGGTCTTTAGACAGACACCCTATCTGTAACCATGCTGACTTGAAAATAAATTTTAAAGTACGCTGATGGCTGCATAGCTCTGATACATGTGTTCAATGGCTGTTTCCCAGCATGTGCACAGGACTGTACTGACTACATAGACTGACAGAAAATTCTTTTCAGATTCCATTGTGCAGCAGCTGCATGTTAAATACAGAAGTTGTCTGAATTCATATGCATATGGAAATAACAAGCCATAGGAATATTGATGTTCCTGGCTTTCCATTCCCCTGCCCTTTTTTAGTCCCTGGAAACTTTATGCTTGGGGCTGAAGGACCAGTACCAAATAGCCACATGGGTTGAGAGGCTACAGTGGGGAGAGGTAGAGCTCTGTTCATGCAAGAGGGAGTTAATTACATGCTTCTCATACATACATGGCTATTCCATCCGGGTCCTCTTACCCCCAAGAACAAATTTCCTGTGACTGGAATGGAGTGGGGGTAGAAAGCAGGGAATAGCAGTGCCTTTCCTTGAAAGACTGCAGGATCCATCCTAACAATCTTTCATGGATTTGTCAGCAATTTGGTGCTGCAAACTAGTTTGTGTTAAGGAGGTAGTGTTGTTGTCTGTGCAATGTTAAACTGATGCAAAATTTTAAGTTTGTATAGATAATGCCCTACTGCCTGGAAAACGTCTGTTTGTATGTGAAATTACCTTCCGGCACACTTAGCAATGTAGATGAGACTTACCTGTTCTATGTATACGTTCAGATTTTATTTCCTCTTTACCAAACTAAATTAGTATGGGAGTCCTCATATGCATAATGGAAAGAATCCATCCACACTGAAAGACCAATTGACTCTGGGGGGGGGGGGAGTAAAAATACATGTTTTAAGAGCTCTGAGACCGTATCTTTAAACGTTCCCAGTGATAGCTTCTATGTGCCAAACTGCACAAATATCTTTCTTTCTACTTGCTGTACTGAATCATTTAATAGAAAAAGAAACACAGCTTCTAAAAATGAAATATTTCAGTTTTATTTCAATATTTGTGGCTTTGAAAGATTTAATGGGCGTTATAAAAAGCCCTTTTATCCCACCTAAAGTGGTTGTACACCAGCTATGCCATCGAGGATTCCACAGTGGTTCTGTTATTATACTGAAACTGCACAACAAGAAAAAGTTGATATTGCATAATTCTAGTTTTGCTAATTCTGGGCAAAGGGGTTGAAGCCCTGCTGTAAACCACAAGAATTCCTGTTCAGTCAACATTAGCTGTCCACTTTTCTGATGAAGAATTCTGTACCCAATACACTGTTTTCTGTATTCCTATGAAACACGCAAGAGCTGTAGCTGCCTCTTCACTACCACTGACTCCACATTCAGCAGTGGAACACCTCTGGAACCTCCTAGTTCTCCAGTGAATGGGGACAACTTACTGTGGAGTAGCAGGCAAGATGGGAGTGCCTTTTTCTTCCACAACCTTACAAGGGACGTCTGTCAGCACACTACACCAGAGCTACATAGGTTCAGGAAATCCAGACCTTTCATTTGAGCACTAATTTTATCTCATTCTCCACCTGTTAGACTAAAGGCAGTTTCACATGATTGAAGAACTGACAAACCAGGGCTTGTAATATTTTGTGCTATAAATTGGTTAAAAAAGATATAAAAACATTAAGCCCCTGGTTCAAGTAAGTAATGCAAGTCATTGTGTCATTACTGGACAGGATGAAGAGAGATGCCTTAAATATGTACAGCTGACTTTTCTTCAAAAAATGCACCCAAAAAACTCAGACTTTAAATATTGATTCTTCAAAGAGATTAATTTCCATGAATCTGTTTTGATGACACTTGTATCTTCTATCAGGAAATGCTTTTCCTGACGGTCACAGCTTGAAGCCAGAGTGAATGGCCACAATGCCTGAACCCAGGTTGCGATATTCCACCTTCAGGAAGCCCACATCTTCCATTAGCTCCTTCAGTTCCTCCTGAAATGCAGCAGTGGAGTTTTAAATTATCATATATGAATTCCTGACTTTCTTATCTGGGAGGCAATAAAGTACTTTCTTACCTGGGTCAGAAAACACCTGATGCTTTCTACAAGGTACTGGTAGGCTTTCCAGTCACCAGCAATCACCTCACCCAGCACGGGGATAACTTGGAAGCTATACAGATCATAGAGACTGAAAATAAATGTAGGTTAATGTAAGTACTTCTATTCCCTACATGAGTCTGATTATTATAATTTCAAAATGTTTGAACCTCTTAACCAAACACCAGTGCCTCAAATTCAAGCTACAAGGCAAGCAGGTGTACATTTGTGGTTAGGGCTGTCTCATTCTTTCTCAACTCTTAAGATATATCTGAATCACTATAGAGTACTTTTCCCCTTCTTAAGAATTTATTTAACCTGTTGTACTGGGTAGAAAGACATCTGTCCGTAAAAGATCACAAGGACAATTTAAACATCCAGGACAGCTGACTGATGCTAGATGAAACAGACTGATCACTAAATAAACATGTATTCCAGAAGCTGCAAGTGGCTGCCTTAAATAGTATACTGTGGTATCAGGGTAAAAGGGCTATTTCCAACCCCTTTATGTCCAAATTCATAAAATAGGTTGACTTGACCTTGCTGCAGAGTACAAATTTTTTACTTGGAACTGAACTAGCCCTGACAAGGAGCATTCTTAAAGTTCCCGTAAACATCCTGCCTTCTAAAAGAATCATTTGTTATGATAACCATTGCCATTACCAAAGTTCTCTTGGTGCTGGAATGGTTTTCTTCTAAACTAGAATTAGTGAATTTTCTTCATGGGCAAGGTGGTTCTCTGGCCAAAGTCAGCTTAATGCCCAAGAAAAAGTCTGTTTTCTCCAGGTCACTGAAAGCATATTTAGAAGCCCCAATCTAGTTAATCAAAAACAATCAGTACTAGAAGTTTGTTGGGGTTTTTTTGGATGGGATGACTAACAGTCTGTTCCAAGAGACTAGCAGTAACATCCTACAAACACTTTCATGGGACTAAGCACCATTAAATGGAACTCAGTAGGATTCTGAGCAGACCTGCTTATGACTAGCACGGTGGGAATAACCCATGCAGATGTCCTCCTGTCCTCAGAGAAGGACCACTCACGGTAAGTGTCCAATGGTCATTCTCTAGATCAGAGTTAAAAAGTTATCTAAGCTTACTTTGTCTGAATGGCTTAGGGTCTGCATTATACTGGCCTACCAGAATCCAGGTAAGTAGCCTCCTGTGGGTATTATGGTTCATTTGATGGGGGAGGGGGAACCATATCTGTGTCTTCAGTAAAGCTAATCATTCAGTGAGCTCTACAAGGCTGTGAATTATGCTTTGGTTTATAAACAGTTCATAATATGATGATGCTTGAAGGAAGGTATCTGGTGGAATGAGCTCCCAGAGGAGATCAGGGCCCTGCGGGATTTGTTACAGTTCCGCAGGGCCTGTAAGACGGAGCTCTTCCGCCAGGCTTTTGAATAGGAGCCGCCGCCACCACCACCGGGTGACTGTAAAGCAATACTGCTGGGTTAGGCTGACTGGCCATTTGAACATCGGAGCCATAGCATCCCCCTTTGACTCAATGTGATGTACAATAGGGAGCGAGTATGTGAGTCGCGATAGATCCTTGGGAGTGCCCACTGTAGTTAATTGTTTTACATTGTTTTAACCGTATTTTATTGCACTGCGTGCCCTAATTCTGTAATTGTGATGTTGTCTTACATCTATGTCTGTAAGCCGCCCTGAGCCCGCGTGCGGGGAGGGCGGGATACAAATGTAATTAAATAAATAAATAAGGTACTATGGAGATAACATTAGACTTTTGGTCTAACCAGGAGTCCACCCTGAGATGGCAATGCTTTTATATGATCCAAAGGATCCAGAATACCCTGAAGAAAACAGTGGAGAAAAAGAAATTCCTTACTATGAATTACGATTCTCCATGACTGCCGCAAACACTTTATTTTAAGGCTTCTTCCTTCGTTTGCTATGTTTGGCATCTCCCCTCCCCATAGTTAGAAGGGATCTGCTTTTCCAGTACAGTCAGGGAATACAGGGAGTCCACACTCAGAGACGTTCAGACCCTGCTTCCTGACCCAAGGGGAATACAATAATTGACTGCAAGGAGTTTCCTTTTTTTTTTACTTTACTGTGCATGTTCTGTTTTTAACTTTTCTGAACTTTTGGGAAGGGGCAAAACAGAAACCGCATTAAGTAAATAAATGGAAATATATTTTGTAGGACTTCTACAACATTTTACTCTGTTGGGCAAACACTGTTTTGCTCAAGGTGGGCAGCTGCATTAAGTCTGTAGTAAGGTAAAGGTTTCCCTCTCCGTTTCCAAGCTGAAGAGCCAGCGCTGCCCAAAGACGTTTCTGTGGTCATGTGGCCGGCATGACTAAACGCCAAGGTGCACGGAATGCTGTTACCTTCCCACCAAAATGGTACCTATTTATCTACTTGCAATTTCTTGCTTTCGAACTGCTAGGTTGGCAGGAGCTGGAACCAGAGATGGGAGCTCACTCCGTCATGCGGCAACTTGAGTCTCAAACTGCTGAACTACCAACCTTCCAGCCTGCAGTTCAGCATCTTAACCACTTGAGCCACTGCAGCTCCTTAAGTCTGTAGTAGTAGAGCAAAAATTGAGGCCATTACCACCGACAAAAATTTTCAGGGCATAAGCTTTCGTGAGTCAAAGCTACTCAAGAAAGTTTATACCCTGGAAAATATAGTTGTTAAGGTGCCACTAGATTTGAATATTATTTGTTCAAGGGAATGAAAGGTGAGAGGAAATATAATCCAACCTGGAAACCAGGGAATTGTTGACATGACTAAATTCCAGACAGAGAAACCGCCCTCCTGGTTTCAAGACACGATAGGCCTCCTGTAGTGCCTAAAACAAGATAGACAAGCACAGGAGGTTTGTTCTATAACAGCGATTCTTAACTGGGACCTGATGAAGGCTGCCTTTCCCCCAGGGAGCATTTAGAATTTTAGGCAGCCTCTTGTAACAGCATCTAACAAGTCAGTGGAGGAGAGGGTTTTTTTGGGGAGGAGGAGGTTTATAATACTCATCCACTCTGAAGATAAAATCCCAGAATTCTCTTCAAGGCCCTTACAGAATGGCACACAGCAAACAGGTATCAAACCAAGCAGGCCCATAGCTACAGTGGCCCCACAAATAGCCATGCCCCAAACCTTATTTTTGAGAAGAAACCCCCACTTCCTGCTGCTAGCAGCGCCTAGGGTGAGAGCACCGTGGGTTTCCCTCAGGTTTCCCTCTCGTTCCCACTGTGGAATTGGGGGGGGGGGCATCATGGGACACAGGGAAAGACAGCTCAGAGGGCCTTTAACTGCATGTTTCTCAAAGCCTCATGGGAATGCTTTTGAAAGACTCACCATGACACAGAGAGTACTCCATCTTTCTGTGTTATGCCTCTGAAGATGCCAGTCACAGGTGCTGGCGAAACATCAGGCTCTACAGTGCCGAGACCATGGCTACGCAGCCCGGAAAATCTACAACAACTAATGAACTACAATTTAACTGCCCCCTGAACAACCCCCCCCCCTGGCTATGGGCCCCGAAACCAAGCATTAAAGAATTAGCTAACAGCATCAGGCACCAGGGTCTTACTGAATTATCTATAAAAGATCAGCATAGTGCAGGGGCCCCAAAACTTTTTGAGCCTGTAGGCACCTTTGGAAAATCTGATACAGGATAGTGGGTGCAACCACAAAATGGCTGCCACAGAAGGCAGAGCCAACCATACAATGTCAGGGAGTGTATGTATAACTAACAGTAACTCTTCAACATACTGTTTTAGAGTAAAGATCCTTGTACTGTGCTGACAGCTGCTGCTAAAGCAATGTTTTTAGAAATCTGCACAGCCAGCCGGATCTCCGATGACCAATAGAAGCCCTGCTGGGCAAAAGCCCTATCTGATATATCCACTTTCTCAAAATACTTGGTGAGCACCAGCAAAGGTATCTGTGGGCACCATGTTAGGGATGCCAATATATGTGTATATAAAGAATATAATCTTTATTAATATTGTCTGCAGTGCTGTTTTTAGGTTGGTTTTAAAAAATTGCATTGGTTAGCATTCGTTGATGTGGTATAGCTGATGGGCTACAGTGGTTCTTAACCATTACTACACTGCTATAAAACTTCACATGATTTCATTCTGAGCTCATAATATGAATGTTTTGGGACAAATTTTAATCAGTTTACTATATCCTTGGGCTAGCTTTAAGAATTTCTGACTAGCATATACCTGCTGTCTTCGCAGAGTATCAGAATGACTACCACTTTTTTTAAGAAATAGGGTTGGTGGAAGCAAAATGCCAGTATGTTGCAGCATGCAGGTTACCCTACAAGCAGAAGAAATCTTTGGTCTACCTGTTTTCCAAACTGTGCATCCATCCATCTTCCTTCTTCATTTAATACAGCGCTATCTATTACTGTCATTTAGCAACAGAAGCCCTAGTAGCTAAATGGAACCTCTGAGGTAAGAAACAATATACCTCTTCATAGCACATACTAGGAAAAACAACGAGAATACTAGCATCATTAAACTGCCAAGGGTATCTGTCTGGCAACTGCTGGAAACAAAATACTGAACTAGATGGAGTTTGGTCTGATCCAGCAGTGCTCTTTTTATTTCAACTATTAGTATTCACACTCACGTGGTCAATATGAGTTACGTTCCGAATACCAAAGGCAATTGTGTAAACGTCAAAACTGTCATTGTTGAATGGCAGTTCTTCCGCATTTCCAAGCACCCACGACAATCCTTTGAAAGAACATAGAAGAAACTGCTGAGTACCATATTCCCAAGTAATCTCACAAATGCCCTCACAACAAAGACAGTTTTGTATGAATTGTCAGATACACTGGATCAACTACTGGTTGGCATCCTTCTCTTGCTTCTTGTTTCCAGCATGTCAATAGTAAAACCTGATATTAGCACATCCTGTGCCCTAAAGCCTGCAAAGCATTCTTTTTACAGGATGCTGATGAAGAAGCCTTAAGGGCAGGGCCTGAGGCACCCCTCCCCCCTTTTATTTTTGCTTCGTCGCATCCAGCATGACGAACAGTGTTGGAGAACATGAAAGCTTGCATACCATGTTGTATTTTGGATAGATCTTAATAAAAAGTATTACATGGCTTTTGTTTGTTTGGAGTTTGCTATGGACTAACAGGGCTACCTGCTTTTCAAGTCTTCTATGAGACAAATCATGAGAGTTTCTGCACATGCCTGAAGGCAAGCTTCAAGAGTTAATCCAATCACCATGGCAGCCAGTGACTGACATCACCATTCATAAGCCAAAATATTTCAGCTTTATACCACCTTGAGCTTTGCTTATATCCTGCAAAGGTCTCCAGAGAGTTACACCTTCTAATAATATTACTGTGCCTGCCTGAATGCACAGTGCACTGAGTGCACAGCCTGGCATGATCTGGTCCATGGGGTCGCGAAGAGTCGGACTCGACTGTGCGACTGAACAACAACAACTGAGTGCAGCAGTTTTCCAGGTCAACCCCTTGGTATTACTATTCTTAATAAATTTTATTTCAGATTTCATTCTTTCAAGGTTTGTAGAGCACTGCATCACTTAGTCAGTAGATCTCTTTTGCCGCAGTGAGGAGGGGGAATAAGATGAAATCACTTCCAACTCCTCCTGTTGCTGAGGCAGCTAACGTATAAGAGCAAGTTGCCTGCTGGGACAAAAAGGAGGGGTGAGTTTGCTGCATTCCCCTTCTTTGCTGCAGCTTCCCAAGTCTTGCTGCATTTTGTCCTAGAGGCTCCCATGATCCTCTGGCTTTTCAGAGGTCTTAGGGGACTGCTGGAGGAAAGAAAGGGAAGGGAAAGGTCTACCTCCACAAGTGCCTGGAGCTCATTTCATAGGATCTAATCATATGGTGATGCACCCACGTGGTCTGCCATTGTTCAAACCCCATTGCAGAAGTTACAGTCCATTACCTTCAGAATAGCCAAGGCATTGTGATTTTTGCTTTCCAACCTTCAGCATCTCCTTGTTAATGTCACAGACCACCACATGGGAGCCCCCCAATGATTTATGCTCCTCTTCCTGGTAAAGTTTGGTAATTTCCTGCCATGATAAGTTCTGATGTGTTCTCAGCTGCTGTCGGACCTGATGCTCCCGCTGGGAACGAACATAATTGAGAAATCGAAAGGCGATGTCACCTGCATTTGTTGTGAAAGGAAGATTCACAATGTAGGGTCTCCCCTGAAATTAAATGTTCAAGCATTTAAGGACACAGAATGGAAACTTGTTCACTTACCATGAATTTCCCTTCCCGGTGGTCCTAAGGTAGAACAGTCTTCACTAATGGGAGGAGTTACTTCTCATCCTGAAGACTGCCCTACCCTGAACTACCAAAGAAGCACAAATCTAGACATTTATATATTGTATTTGTTCATTTACACACTTATTCACCCCAATTTACACTATGCCCTATTCCAAAGATCAGAATGGGAAACAACTATCTAACTCAGAAACTACAGATTGTTCATAATGTTGCAATTTGGTTCAAACATATCATGTTCAGCCAATATTGCAGCAGTAGCAGTGGATTCCAGTGAATTTTCATGACTATGGCATTAATTTTTCTTCCCAAAGTCATGAAAAATCCTAGATGAGGAAATTCCATGGCTATCTTAACTCCTCAGTTCCTCACACTCTTCATTTGATCTACAAACTAATTCAACTAACCTTAACACAGGTGGCTCCCAGTTGTGATTGCATTCTTCCTTGCTTCTTATAATCTGTCGTTCATATACCATCCGATAACCCACTCAATGTAATGAAAATGTCTTATCCTAACAAACACTGGAATGCAAGATTTTCTAATGCATCAGATCTTTTAAACTGGGATAGTCTGTACAGCATATTTATAGAGTTGCATAGTCAACTTACACTTAGCTTCAAGCTAAAACCAATGCTCACTAATAAGCCTAGAATTGTTTTAGGCTTACCTGTCCCTCCAGCAACATCAAGCAACTGGGTTCCTGGGCATGGGTTCATTTGGTGCAAGAAGATGTCTTTCCAGATTCGATGGATACCCAGACTCATTGAATCATTCATTATATCATACTTCTTAGCCACATTTTCAAAGACCTGGTAAACTGAAATGATTTTTTTTTCAAATGATAAAGTGGTAGACTAGACAAGTCCCACTCTTATCTAACATACTGGTTACACTGCATCCCATTTATCTTTTCCGCTAGCAAGAGGCTCTGTGGATCCAACTGGGGCAATTTCAATCACTTCTTCAATGCCGCTGCCTATTTTGCATGGGGTCCACGTAGGACCCAAACACTCTGCACCGTGGCTTCCGGGAATGGCAGGAAAGATCTACATGTGCCAGCACCTTCCAGCTGTGCTGCATACAATCCAACCCACCACTCACGCCGCTAAATACAAAGAAAGCACAGCTCTTCCCCTCATATAAAAACATTAACTTGGTAAGAAGCCTGCCACAGTTTTCCAGCATCTCATCCGCATCTGAGATAACTAAAACCACATTTGCTGTGAAATTTCTGGCCCAGCTCCTCAGTCCTCATTCTTTACTGAAACAAAGCCTACATATCATGATTGCAGTTGCCCATATTCTTCTCTTAACCTCAGTTCTGTATTTATCCTCCCTCTATTGCCAGACATTTATTTATGTATTTATTTATTTCATTTATACCCTACTTTTCTCTCCAATGGGAACCCTAAGTTACAGCATTCTTCTCTTCTCTATTTTATCCTCACAACAACCCTGTGAGGTAGGTTAGGTTGAGTGTATGTGACTGGCCCAAGGTCACCCAGTAAACTTCCATTCCAAAATGGTGATTCTAACCTGGGTCTTCCAGATCCAGTTCCAGCAATCTAACCGCTACATCTCCTTAAATCAAGAGGCTAGATTATTGCTTTAGGAATTCTGTACAGCTCCACAAAATACCAGTAACATCTTGACCACATAAGAAATGCAATATAAAACCTACGGGAGCCAGCAGGCATCTAAAGAACCACCTTTCCTAGCTTGGACGGGGCAGACATCTCCCCAATACTCCCTCTAAGATGTAGAGTCTTGTGAGCAAAAATTCTACTTTCTGAGCTACTGGTATTAAAGTTAGATTCAGGTGGGCAGCCGTGTTGCTCTGAAGCAATACAACAAAGTTAGAGTCCAATGGCACCTTTAAGACCAACAAACCACAAATTAGGACACCTCAATCTCCAGTTCTAACATATTTATCACCTATGTTTCCCCCACCCCAGTTGAACTGCGACAGATGATAACCAGAAACCGAGCTTGTCATTCTTTAATTTTAACAAGTCACCCCTATATATGTACAACTATGATAGCTCACATCTTGAATAAAAATTCGTTGGTCTTAAAGGTGCCATTGGACTCTTAACTTTGCGGGATTAAAATTGTGAGCGAACGATTTCGCGACTGCATAAATTAGTTTGCTCTGGTGCCATCCTTCCTGAGCTAAGACAAAAATGTGTGAGCCTCAGGCTAAAAACTGTGAGCTACTTTACACTAATTCAGCTTAGGGGGAACATTGATCACAGGCAGCCCAGTTCTCTCTCACCCTTCTCTCCTTTCTCCTCCTCAGACACAGTCTGAAACCCAAAGTGAGTCCTCGCGTCAGCTGCCGCGCGCCCCCCTCCACTGCACAGCCGACGCCCCCACCCAAGCAGCAGCCGCTGGTCCCGGCAACCTCGCAGAACCCAGCAAGAAGCTACGGCCATGGAGGCGGCCATCTTGATTCATGCCGCATCAATGACGCTCTCTCCTGAACGGGTGGAACACCACATGCGCAGTTATCCCGCTTTGCTCTAGATAGCGGCGTCGCACCTTAATCGACGACTAGTCATTCGATAACAGGATGTTTTACAGGGCTAGTCCCTCTGCTGACAAGTTTGCGGGACTAGTATTGACCAGGTAGTTCTGTTTGAGCACACAGCCTTCCCACTCTCTGAATCAAACGTGTGCTGAAGACAGCGCATGTCCTACAATGCAACCTGTTAAATGGCAAATTATTAACAAGCCGATTCCTCAAGTTAGGGCTTATTATTATTATTTATTGGAAGTCTCTCTAGAACTCAGAGGGGTTTACTTCAGTCAAATACGTCTCGGATGGCGATACACAGCTGCAATTCCAAGCACAGTTACTTAGAAGCTCCACTGAATTAATTCTGAGTAAGAAACGGAGACAAGCACTGCCCCCTAGAGTCGGATTCGACTGGCTTTCGAGCAAGGGAAACCTTTACCTTTCTTTACCTTTCAAGATGTAAAATATCTGGAAATTTTTAAGCCCCGGGGAGAAAAACCAGAAATTTTGGGGGAAATTGAAGGTATATGCAACACTTACTGCCCTATCAGATTTAACTACATTTATAATCTAGTAAGTATATAAAATGCTTACTATTTGGTATATGTATGGAATTTAAAAGTATAACTACATTTTCTATAAGAAAAAACCTGCAAATATATCCAATACTTGAGAGAGTTGCAAACTGCTTAACCCTACGCTACTATAACACATGCATGTTTAATTTTTGCCATATGAGAGTGTAGTAGGTACATTAGTGATTTATTTCACTTCAGGCTTTATTATTTCTTTTTGATCATAAACCTGTGTAACGTCTATTTTGCTAAAGGCTGGACAAAAAGTTGCATGGCAAAACATTTCTCTGAGAGGGCCTCTCTACGTAGCTATCACAGTTCATAGCAGGGAGGTTTATTGTTAAAGTAACAAGGTTGAGAGAACATTCTGTAGGGAGAGGTGAGACTGAGGTTTGTAATTTCCAGTCAGGAGACTTGGAAGATTCTCTGTCTATTGAGCCCTGCAAAAGGCAGGTGTCATCATGTAACATAGCTATGACCTGTACACCATGGGATCTGTAACAGCCAATTAATATTTTGCTTGTAAAATGACAATGACCAATCAGTGCCTTAACTTTGCTTTGTATAAAAACTTCTGCCTTCCACCAGAAAGGCAGAGAGCACTCTGAAATGCTGGTTGTGTTCTCTCTTATCTGTGCAGATAATAAAAAGTACTTAAAATCTCATCCCTGATTTAGACTTGGTGGGATGAGGAAAATCAGTGGGATACGGTGATTCCCTGTTATATATTATATCGGAAGGATGGGGGGGAAGGGTTGGAGGTGGGGTGGCTCTGTATGTCAGAGAGGGTATGAAGTCCAGAAAGATTGAGAGGTTAAGAGAATTGGATTCGCTTCTGGAAGTTCTGTGGGTTGAAATAGGGGGGCCAAAAGGAAACTTAACACTGGGAGTTTGTTATCGCCCACCAGATCAAAAGATAGAGGAGGATTATAAAATGATGAATGAATTAAAGATAGCAGCTAGACAAAAACACTGTGTCGTAATAGGTGATTTTAACTACCCACACATTGATTGGGTCAATATGTGTTCTAGTCGAGAAAAAGAGATTGAGTTTCTAGACATTCTAAATGACTGTGCTATGGAGCAGATGGTCACGAAACCTATCAGGAGAGAGGCGATCCTTGATTTGGTCCTAAGTAACACTCAAGACCTGGTGAGAGATGTAAAAGTGATTGCACCGCTTGGGGACCGTGATCATAATGTTGTTGAGTTCAACATTTGTACAAATAGGGAATTGGCCAAAAAGACTCACACAACCACTTTTAACTTTAAAAGGGGTAATTTTTCTGATATGAGGGGACATGTGGGGAGGAAACTGAAGGGAAAAGTAGAAAGGGTCAAAACCATTGGGGAAGCTTGGAAACTGTTTAAAACTACAATTCTAGAAGCTCAAATAAAATATATTCCGCAGGTTAGGAAAGGCACAAACAGGTATAAGAAAAAGCCTACATGGTTAACAAACAAAGTAATGGAAGCTGTAAAAGGTAAAAAGGATTCCTTTAAGCGGTGGAAAGCTAGTCACAGTGAGGCTGATAAAACAGAACACAGGCTATGGCAAATAAAATGCAAGTCTGTGGTCAGGCATGCAAAAAGGGAATATGAGGAGCATATAGCAAAAAATGTAAAGACCAACAATAAAACTTTCTTCAAATACATTAGAAACAGGAAACCAGCCAGGGAGGCAGTGGGGCCCTTGGATGACCAAGGGGTAAAAGGAGTACTGAAGGATGATAGGGAAATGGCTGAGAAGCTAAATGCATTTTTTGCCTCCGTCTTCACTGTGGAAGATGAGAGGTGCTTGCCCACTCCAGAGCCGCTGAGTTCGGGAGGGGTGTTGAAAGACCTGAGTCAGATTGAGGTGACGAGAGAGGAGGTCCTAAAACTGATAAACAACTTAAAAACTGATAAATCACCAGGCCCAGATGGCATACATCCAAGAGTTCTGAAAGAACTCAATTGTGAACTTGTGGATCTCCTGACAAAAATATGTAATCTCTCCTTAAAATCAGCCTCCATTCCTGAGGACTGGAAGGTAGCTAATGTCACTCCCATCTTTAAAAAGGGTTCCAGAGGAGATCCGGGAAATTACAGGCCTGTCAGTCTGACGTCGATACCGGGTAAATTGGTGGAAACCATTATTAAGGAAAGAATTAGTAGGCACATAGATGAACAAAACCTATTGAGGCAGACTCAACATGGGTTCTGTAAGGGAAGATCTTGTCTCACTAACCTGTTAATGTTCTTTGAGGGGGTGAACAAACATGTGGACAAGGGGGATCCAATAGATATTGTTTACCTTGACTTCCAGAAAGCTTTTGATAAAGTTCCTCATCAAAGGCTCCTAAGCAAGCTCAAAAATCATGGGATAAAAGGACAAGTCCTTTTATGGATCAAAAACTGGCTAATTAATAGAAAACAGAGAGTGAGTATAAATGGGCAGTTCTCCCAGTGGAGGGGTGTAAGCAGTGGGGTACCACAGGGATCAGTACTTGGTCCACTGCTTTTTAACACCTCATTTGGAATACTCTGTGCAGTTCTGGTCACCACACCTTAAAAAGGATATTATAGCTTTGGAAAAAGTGCAGAAAAGGGCAACTCGAATGATAAAAGAGTTGGAACACTTTCCCTATGAGGAAAGGTTAAGGAGCTTAGGTCTCTTTAGCTTGGAGAAACGACGACTGAGGGGTGACATGATTGAGGTTTATAAGATTATGCATGGGAAAGAGCAGGTAGAGAAAGAGGTACTTTTCTCCCTTTCTCACAATACAAGAACTCGTGGGCACTCCATGAAATTGCTGAGCAGTCGGGTTAGAACGGATAAAAGGAAGTACTTTTTCACCCAAAGAGTGATTAACACTTGGAATTCACTGCCACAGGAAGTGGTGGCGGCTACAAGCATGGACGGCTCCAAAAGGGAATTAGATAAGCATATGGAGCAGAGGTCCATCAGTGGCTATTAGCCACAAGGTATAGATAGGGCCTCTGGGGCAAGTGATGCTCTGTCATCTTGGTGCTTGGGGGGGTCAACAGTGGGAGGGCTTCTAATGTCCTGGCCCCACTGGTGGACCTCCTGATGGCACTGGTATTTCTGGCCACTGTGTGATACAGAGTGTTGGACTGGATGGGCCTTTGGCCTGATCCAACATTGGCATCTCTTATGTTCTTATGTTCTTATGACTCCATTTCTTTCTGAAGCACATTTGTCTTAGTTTTAGAAAGAGACACTTGTTTAAGTGTAACAAGAGGTAGAAAAAATAAAAGTTGAAAGCCAAAAACAAATCCTGCTCTAAACAAAAGAAAGTGCATTATTTGGACAGAACCTCTTGAAGTCACAATAGGTATGACTACCAGGATATTTGGAGATTAAGCGAAACTTTATAACATTAAAAATACTGAACTCCTAAATAATGTATTACCATTAAACATTATTAGTGCAAAAATTACTTACATTTATACAAAAAAAGTATAAGAGTTTTTTTTGTTTTTTTAGTGCTCCTTAAAATTCTCCAATTTTCCCATGGGCAAGAGAACTGGGAAGGTCCTTAGACATTTTTGAGTAGTATAAGTGTGAAAAACTTAGGACAGGGTAAAAGCTGGAATGGCCCAGCCGGAATGGGCACTAAACACACAATAGTACTGCAAAAAACGATGGCATGCATTACAGGCACTCCAGAACAATATTCTAGAAGTGGAAACACTGAACTTTTTCTACTAAATGACCCCTGGTTGGTTAAATACTGCACCGAGTCTTGTGGAAGTCTAACAAATTGACTGATGTGCAAGGGGGAAGACCTGCACAAACCCTTGGGGAGCCCTTCCACTGCCAGCCCCTGGCCCTGTGCTGTGTAGCATCCAGCTAGTTGATCCCCATTAGGTTGAGGACATGATTAAAGCCCCAAGCTACTACTGGACAGCTCAGGGGGTTTCGAGCGAAAAGCAAGCCTGGTGCATTTTTGGCCCTGACCCACTGCAGAAAAACCTGCTGCCTGTCACCACTCCCATCCAATCCTCTATTGTTCTCCTCTCCTATAATCTGGCCAGTTGTCTTTTCCACAAAATCCCGTAGGTCATCCCTACCTTTTCATTCGGGGCCATTTGAGGAGGCATTCTGGCTTGGAAAGGGTTAATAAACGTGTGAGAGTTCCCTGTTTTCGCTTCTAGAATATTGTTCTGGAGTGCCTGTAATGCATGCCACTGTTTTTTGCAGTACTATCGTCTGTTTAATGCCCGTTCCGGGGTTTTCCGGAGGCAGTTTGGCCTAGAAAGGGTTAATAAAAGAGTGAGAGTTCCGTGTTTTCACTTCTAGAATATTGTTCTGGAGAGCCTGTAATGCATGCCACTGTTTTTTGTGGTGCTATTGTGTGTTTAGTGCCTGTTCCTGGCCGTTCCGGCTTTTACCCTGTCCTTTGTGAGGATATAAAGTCCTTTGGCTGCGGTCACACGGAGCATTAGCCACGCTAGAGCGATGGAAGTCAAGCGGAGTTTCTGGGGGCGATCTCACCAGCACATCTGGGAAGCGTAGCACTTCCGTGACGCAACCGAGGCTTCCCGCCGAAAACACGCAGCAAAAAACTAGTACCTCGGAGGTACTAGTTTCCGAAAACTGCGGGGCAAGGGCAGGCGTCTGATCGCGTTTCCGGAGGCATCCGGTGCCCACCCATGTCCCCTTGCAAAAAAGGTGTGTTTTTTTCCAAGTCTCCGTGGATGCGCACAAGCACCCAATGGAGCATGCGCAGTCGCGGTGTACACGAAAAAAAAAATCCAGTTTGCCGCACCGCGCGCTTCTTTTTTGCGCGTGGGATTGTCATGCGCAGGGCTCTAGTCGGGGGGGAGCTCTCAGGTACGGAGCTCCGGAAGAGAACCTCTAGGGGGCGGGGCGGTCACGTGGTGAAGCCCCGCCCCCTTCTTTACCCCGCCCTCTGCTTCGATCCTCATTCCGTTTGGGAATGAGGATGAAGCAGGAGGGTAAGTAGCCGGGCCTTCTGACACACTTCCGGTGATGTCAGGGGGTGTGGCCTTCTGTCACTTCCGGTGATGTCAGGGGGCGTGGCATATGCAAATAAGTTATGCTAATGAGTTATGCTAATGAGCTCCGGCAGCTCTTTTTCTACAAGACCCCTGGTCATGCGATCAACCTCCACGGTACCTCCACGGGAGGTCTGATCACTTTACCGCACAGTAGTTTGCCCCGGGGCAAACTGCCATGCTCCCCCCCCACAGTTTCCTGCCCGTGTGACCGGGGCCTAAGCCAGAACTCAAGAGTTCTGCCTCAACGTCACTTGCAAGTTTGCAAGAATGTGGTGTCTAGAACTATGAATCATGAAGCCCAGAATTAAAATATTACCTCTGCCACGAACTTACTTGGTGACCATAGGTAAATTGCTTACAGTGCAATCATATCCAGAGTTACTCCAGTCTATAATTTCTGTGGGTTTAGACTGGAGTAACTCTGCAGGGGAAGCCTCAGTCCACCACCTGCGAGGTAGGGAAAATAATCCTGACCTTCCTAACAGAACTGTTGTACCCGCCTTGAGTCTCAGTGATGAAGATGGTGAACTATAAATAGTGTAAGCCAATAAATAAATAATGTGCGTGAAGCGCCTTCAAAATAGAACGTGCTATATAAATACGTTATTATAGCAGAGAAGTTCAAAAGAAGGAAGATTCTCCTCCACAACCGTTGGTTTACACCTCGAAACAAGTAAGCAGTACTTAACTACAACTCCCATGGGGCGATGTGGCAGCTCTACAAAAGAAAAGGGAAGGGCGGAGGAAGCACTTTGGTTTGACCCTCCTATAACATTGCCATTTATATCTGCAGCTGTAGAAAGTCAATGTTTACATCAAAGCGGAGGCGAGCCTTGCTACAAAGTACGCTGGGAGCCGTAGTTTTCTCTTGCTCATAATCCGTCCAAACTAGAAGGAAAAGCACAACAACACCCGGCATGCTGTGAGGGCAAGGTTGGCCCCGCCTCCCCCGAGTCCTTGTAGAAATACACTCATCCGGGTCCTTTGTGGGGCACTGCTGTCGGCGACTCGTCGCCATTACGGGGCTGCGGTAGTATTGAGGCGTCGGCAGTCGTACTGAGGCGGCCCGAGGGAGGGTTCCCTTGGGCGGCACTTCTGCTCCGAGCCCGTTTAGGCCGGGGTCAACGCCGGGCCGGCCTGGTCCTGCGGGGCTCCCTCGTCCCCCCCTCCGCCGTTCCTCGGTCCCGGGGCCCCGCAGGCCCGGCCGTGCTCGGCGGCAGGCGAGGCTGTAACTGGACGGGTGAGGCCTTTTTCTTCCTCTTGTCAGGGTGAAGCTGTAAGGAAGATGTCGCCATGAAGGTGGCCGAGACTCCTGAGCTGCGCCGACCCCGCTGCCGGGCCATGAGCCTGGGCTTTGGCCTCAGCCACCGCCGCCGCCTCCTTTCTTCCTCCCGCAGTAGTAGCGCCCCCGCGGCGCCCGTGGATGCTCCGGCGTTCCCCCGCGCAAGTAGCAGCATCGGCTCTCACCGACGACGGGATGGACAAGAGCAACCCCTGCGGCTCCAACCTCGGCCCCGGTTCTTCGGCGGCGGGAGGCAAAGGGCAGCAGCCCCGCTCTAACTCGGCCGGACCGGCCGGGGGAGAGTCAAAGCCCAAAGGCGGTAAGCGACTGGAGAGCCTGCCCGCTTTTGCAAGAGGTGTTTCGGAACGGAGGAAAGTCGAAGGAAACACAGTTTTGTCATATAACTTAGTGAAATTATACCCCTCCCCTCGAAGTCTGCGATGGTTTCTTGCTTGGCCATATATTTTTAAATAGGATTAGACATCTCGAGGAAGGAGGCGTTTAAAAGGGCTTAGACAGATTCATGGAGGACAGGTCCTTCACATTCAGAGGCACACCTTCACATTCAGAGGCAGTAAACCTCTGAAAACCAGTCTCAGGAGGCAACACCAAGGAAAGCTTTGACCTCTTTCTGCTGTTTGTTGGTCCTCCAGGGTAGCTGATTGACCACTAAGAGGCTGAACTATGTGGACCACTGATCTGATCCAGCAGGACTCTTCTTGTATTGTTTGCTCATTATATGCTTGAGGGTTGTGCTGGCTATGGACAGAGTGTGCCTGTGGCAGGCAGCCCTGACACTCCTGTGGAGATACTTTGCATATAAGCTAGAATTGTAACTCAAGTAGATGCTGCGTAGTTGGATAATTGTGCTGAATAATAACATGGATGGTGCTACTGCAGCATGTATGTTAGTGATAGGAGGCTTTGGGTGGAGCATGTGCTGCTTTTAGTTTCTAAGGGATGTGAGTAAGAGCCCTAATCTCTACAGTTGGTGGTGCAAATGATTGGGTGGAAGGGTGATGATTTTTGATGGTCTGGAGTTTATGTCATGGCTGTGAAAGCTTTACCTACAGAATTTTTCTTGGGTGGGAATTTTAAGTTACATAAAGCATCTAATATGGATTGTAAAGGAACCTAATAACATTCTCCATGTTAGTTGCTTTACTTAAAGTCAGTTCAAGGAAGTGTTTTTGGTATGAAAGTGGAGTGTATTTAGTCATGATACTCTCCTGTTTTAGACTTAATAGCAGGCCCGTAGCTAACAACCTTTTGCTCAGGGGGCTCATGTTTTTCTCAGGGGGCCCACCACCAATGTTCCCTCTAAGCTGTGGAGTTTTGTGAGCAAAACTTCTACTTTGTGAGCTACTGCCATTAAAGTTGTGAGAGAGCAATAAATTAGAGAGAGAGCTGCCACATAAATTAGTTTGCCAAGTATTGGGAAGGGGGCCCATTAAAATCACCAGGGGGCCGGGCCCCATGGGCCCCTGGTTAGCTACGGGCCTGCTTAATAGTAGCTTCTGGCATCTGTCTAGAAGGAGTAGTCTCTCTTTATTGGCCAAGGGAGGTGTGATATTAAACATATTGATGCTTCCACAACAGACAGCTGAAATGTGGTACACAGTATCTGGATTTCCTGTCTGTTATTCTGCAAATGGGGTCTGATAATGGTAACATGGCTCAAAATCTCTTAAAAGTAAGCAGGAACCGTTCTTTGACAAAACAGAAAGGTCTAAAATAATTTCTGCATGTTTTAATTGTTTTCACATGAAAGGTACTGGGACTCCAGGTGTCCTGAGGATTGTACCTATGTTGACAGAATACAGACTTAATATGATTGTTTGTTGAAAAGAGACAATAACATGATTGCATGTTGAAAAGAGACAATAAATATAAGGAACGTTTCTCTGGCAAACAAGTAAAAGGGGATTAGAGGGGGCACTTGAGGCTCATGTTTCCTTTGTATTGTAACTACTATGGCCTTTTTTTGCCCCAATTGTTAGATTTGTATCAGCGAAATAGAAGTGAGCCATATTGTCAATAACATCATGCTATACTGGTTGCAAAAATTAATTTTATTTATAAATATCCTAGCATATGTTGAGCTGGCTGCTGTTAGAGAGGTCAGTACATAAATAAGCAAAGTGTGAAACGATAGTATAATAGATTGCTAGAGTGCATTCTAGCTGTAACATTTATTCCTTTTGTAATTCTTCAAGTTGTATGCTGTATGCATCTTGGCACAACATTTTTCCCAAATTACCCAATTTGGTTTCTGTGGTGCTTTAAAGATTTCTGAAATAGGCATTGCTTTTTATTGACAATCTAAATTTGTATTAATTAATTGTAAATATGTACCTTTCTACATTGTTTTAGATGGAAAAAATACAAATGGTTCCAGGCAGCGTTATAATCGTAAGCGAGAAACTTCATATCCAAAAAATGAGAGCTTTCCCAGCCAGCCCCGTCGCTCCACTTCACAGAAAAGCAAAGCTTTTAATAAGATGCCCCCTCAGAGGGGAGGACATGGCAGTGGTTGCAAACCTTTTAGTGCTTCTTTTAATGGTGGAAGACGAGAAGAGGTGAGACTCTGTCCTGCTTGGACAGCCAGTTTTCTTCAGACAAAATGATTGGGTTGGATCTAGCCATTATTGTCTCCCTGTTCCCCTCACTGCAGCCCCCGTCCCCCATGGCTTTTGTCTATGCAGGTCCCATGATCACCAGTGTAGCCTTTTTTGGCGTCCCCTCCCTTTTTCACCCATGAAAAAGCTGGTTGGATCAAACCTGTCTCTTGTCTATGCTCCTTCTTATGGGATATATTTCTCTTCTGCTGCTGCATGAGACAATATATTAAAGAGGGTACTGAGAAGAATATTCTTGGTTTATTCAGATACCTTTGAAATAACTGGACATGTGCTCTTCTGCTTGTAATTCCTTTCTGCAACTAACTATGGGGGTGAGGGTCTGGGTGCTGTTAGTGGTAGACAGTAGCACATCATGGTAAAATCAGTTGCCACTGATATCTCTTGTAAGGTAGCACCAAACGATAGTAAAGCTGCCGCCTGAATTATCTGCTTAATATAGCCATTTTGGCAATCTCACTGACCTTTAATTACAGTAAATTTCTGGGCTTTGAATAATCTGATATATAAAATGCTGCAGTTTGTTGCTAGCCTTAATCTTATTCAGCTTTGTCATGCACCTGTTGCTTCCGGTCTTTCCCTACTTAGTTGGTAAATCTTCATTCTCTAGGTTATAGTATCTGTTGCCTTTGTTGTAGCTTTTGAGTTCTTGACATGTTGGAATTGTTGACCAAAATAGCAACCCAACTTGCTCTTGGGGATATAGGCATCCTATTTAGCAACTTCATCCCCAGATGATGATATAGTGGGAAGACCAAATGAGTACTCTGGTCATAGTTAAATGCATTGTTTGAGAACAGTGGGTAGGAAGGCCTGACTCTGCTAAGAACTAGAGATGGAGTCCATGCTCACCAGTAGAAAACCTACTTTCTAATTGTTAGATAAATGGACTACAAATGGAAATACTTGGATTAACGTCCCCACCTAACTGTGAAACTCATTGGGTAAACTTTGGCTAGTTATTCATGGCCTAGCCTACCTCACAGGGTTGTTATGAGGATATAGTAGAAGATAATCATTTATGCCAGTCTGAAATCCTTGGAAGAAGAGCAGGATAAAAAACATGGTGTACATGCAGAAGGGAGAATTCCACCAGTGTGCATGTCTTAGTGTTCTCCTCAGGTTGATTGAATTACAACTTTTCAATTGCCCACCAAACTCTTGTGAAAGCCCTCCCACTGCATCTGTGCCATCCAGGTTTAGTTTTATTTAAAAATGCAAGGAAAGCATAATTGTCTTTACCTTAAAAAGTAGTTGATCCTCATGCTAATCATTAATAGATTTTAAACTTCCAGAAATTTTGAAGCCGTGGATGGAGGATAGAAGTTTTGGGGAAATTGAAATATCAACCCGAACTACTTTTACTGATTTAACATAAAATGCATAATTTATAACCATTTAACTATTTGTACCACTTCATTTTCTATTTTAAAAAAATGAGTATACTCAAGTACTTGAGAAAATGTTGCAGATTGCTTCACCATATGCTGCCATAACACATCTTAATACTTGCCATCTAAGAGGTTGGGAAAAATTAAAGTTGAAGGTGGAAAACATTACAGAACACTCCCGTACAGTCACAATAGTTAGGACTGCCAGTGTATTTGGATATTAAGTTAAAATGCTGATCTCTTTAGTAATGTATTATTGTTAAATACATTATAGCATCTAATAAAAGCCAGTGTAGTGGTTAGAGAGTTGGACTACAATCTGGGAGACTCAGGTTTGACTACCCTCTCTGCTGTGGAAACTGAGTGACCTTTGTCCAGTCTCACTCCTTTAGCCTAACCTACCTCACAGAGTTGTTGCAAGGATAAAGTAGAGAAGAGCTTTGAGTTCCCACTAGGAAGAAAGGCAAGGTATAAGTGAAGGAAATAAGCATTGCTGAAATTGTGTAGGCAAAAGAATTATTGTCCAGTGCTGTACGTTGTCTCGCATTAAAATTCCATACTGTAGATTTTGATTAAACCTTGCTTTCATTTCACTCATTCCAAAAATGAGGGGAAAGTCGTAAGGTTTTTTAGTGCTCCCCCAAACTTAGTGACCATAGGCAAGGAAAATTGGAAAAGTTCTCATACCTTTTTGTACTATATAGTTGGAAGGAGTGTAATGCTTTTAAGACAAGATTCCCCCCTCTTAAAGAGAAAATACTTCATAGGAATTTTATTTTGGAGTTCCCTAAAATGTTCCAATTTTTCTGTAGCAGAAATGGGGGGTTCTTCGGTGGGGGCATATGTTTTCCCATATTGTCCACATACACATAGCCCCCTTGGGACTTCATATATCTAATTATGAGCATAGCAAAACCAGGATCTCACACAGTAGAGGTCTCTCTCCAGATTGCAGAGAAATGTGAATTTGTAAATAAGAAGAAAAAGATCAAGACATTTTCAGCATGAGAACTCAGTATGCTCCAGGAGGCATTGAATTTTGAGAGCAGTTGAAAATTGATTAAAGGAGAAAGGTGGGGTGATCAAGCCCTTCAATGTTTGTTGAATCTTGGGGGGAGGGGACTAGCTCCCATCTTGTCCAGAAACAACTAGGTGGATGGCTTCCTGTGATAAAGGAGAAAACTAAAGCATAAAGGAACTCTAGAATAGAGCAGTACATTCCAACAAGCCCCCTCTACAAAAACCTGTTATAGTTCCATGCTACAAGAGAGGCCCTACTTGGGGCCATGCTCCGTCTAAACATAAGCATTATATTTAGCACTTTTTAAAACAAACATGTATTAGAAACTTGCTGTGTATGGTGTTTGTTGCATAAGGGCTGTTCGTAGCAGACTATATGTACTTGGATTTAGAAGTATTTAAAGACATTAAAAGTCTTGATTTCTGTATTTTAAATGAGTCCACCAAATGAGTACAATATATTTTAGAGTCTCCAATATTCAGTTTACTGAACTTGAGAAGCAACTCCAATTTTGTACATAAACTTTTGTTACAGTAGCAAATACATGTTGGACATCTTCTTGATTTGTGTTTTCTACATGTTAGTGCAGCCCAAAAAGGCATTTATGTGGCATTGCTTTGTTTGATTTGTGGGTGTGTTTAAATTACCCCATCCTTTTTTTTTTAAGGTAGCAGAGGCTCAACGGGCAGAGTTTAGCCCTGCCCAGTTTTCTGGTCCTAAGAAGATTAGTCTGAACCACTTACTGAATTTTACCTTTGAACCCCGTGGCCATGCAAGCCACTTTGATGGAAGTAGCCGGGGCAGCTGGGGGAGAAGGAACAAGTGGGAGAACAAACCTTTCAACAAGGAGCTCTTTCTGCAGGCCAAGTAAGTGAGGAATGCTTGTGGCTTTACTGAAAGTATTCTACAGCTATCTAAGGCTGCTTTCACATGGCAAGGATTCTTTGTGTTATTTTCACTGCTGCAGCAAATGCAGAGCCGTGTACCAGTAGAGCTTCCACATGGGAGCGTTCTGCACACTTTCCTCCATCAGACCCTTGCAGCTGCTATCTTCTCTTCATTTCCCCCCACCACAACACTGGAAGCTTTTTTAAAAAGCTTATTACCATAGCGCTATAGAATTATAGGTGCTTATTCAAGATCTTTCTATAGAAATACTGAATTTCACGTCTAATCTGTCTCAGTACATTGGAACTTTTAGGAAGTTGATTCTGCTAAGAAGCCTTTGAAGCCAGAAAGCCCTGAGTTTCCTCAGTGTGCACTTCTTGGTTGGGTACTCAGGATTTCTGTCTGATTCAGATAGAAAAAGAGCTTCATCTAAAACTAAATAAATGCTTCAGCAGTGGTTTTTTAATCATGGGAATACATAACATTTCTAACCAAAATTAGGGCACATTGTATAGTAACAAGATAATGGAGGCATTTTCAATATTGCCTCCCCTTGATTGCTATTAAATACATGATTAAATTGCTAACAGTTAGTGGATTGGTTTCCTGTGAGAGATTGATTTGTGTAGCAGCATGATTATCCTTTCATTTAATCCTGTAGCAGATAATATCCCAGCCATTACTAGTCGGGCATTGCTTGTAATCCTGAAAATCTGTATTTTTGGATCCCATTCTGTATGGCATCGAGTTATAATCTGTTATGTACATTCCTTCCAGCTGCCAGTTTGTGGTGTGTGATGAGCAGGACTACACAATTCACTTCACTGACCCAGATACCTTGGTCAACTGGGACTTTGTGGAACAAGTGGTCAGTAGCAATAGATTTGTCTCTCCTTGTGACTATGTACGAATTCGATCATTGGTCATCTAAACCTGTTACTTGCTCAACTTAAACTTCATTAAATAGCAGTCTGGAACAACTGTCTTGGGTGGCAAGCTTTGGAAATGTGTGACAGAAGCAAGAGATTAGACAACCTCAGTTCTATGTAAACTCAAGTTGGAAACAGTAGTTTGGCAAAGATCTCTTGGCCAGCCTTTTAGAACATGAGTCCCTAAATTGATTTGTTCCAACTGTATTTCAATATGGTGTGCTACTTAAAACTCAGTTGAATTTGAAGGGAACATTGAAAGGGGAAATTGAATTTATTTCTTTATCAGAACTGTTACTTACTAGCAGTTTTCTTTTCCTCTGGATGTATTCTCTTTTATCAATATATATATGGGGAAAGTTTCTCTGTTAGACAGAATACAGGCATGGGGCAGGAATGTCCTTCCAGAAGAATAGTCACTTCACATCTACCAAAATAAGTGTTGTTCCTTGAATGGAAAAGTATTTGTATAGGTGCTCTGTACCTTAGTAAACTAGATTCTTTTGTGTTTTTCCAGCGAATCTGCAGCCATGAAGTACCCTCCTGTCCAATATGCCTCTACCCACCTGCTGCAGCTAAGATCACCCGCTGTGGGCACATCTTCTGCTGGCCATGTATCTTGCACTATCTCTCTTTGAGTGAGAAGACTTGGAGTAAGTGCCCCATCTGTTACGGCTCTATTCACAAGAAGGACCTCAAGAGGTAAAGAGGTTCTCTGAAAATCTTTTTTTCTTATTGATGGAGTTGTCTTTTGCTCATCACTTCCCCCCTTCCTTTTTTCTCTCAGTGTGGTTGCTCTGGAAACTCGCCAGTATGCAGTTGGTGATACAATTACAATGCAGCTGATGCAGCGGGAGAAGGGAGCCCTGATGGCATTGCCAAAGTCAAAGGTGATGCTGAATGTGGAGCAGCCTATTCACCTGGGAGGTGAGTCCTCTCTAAGATTAATGCTTGGAACCATTGCCATCACAATTATTTGAGGTTGATATTTGTATTGGGATGTCATGGATGCTTTACAACAGTGGTTGCCAACTTTTTAAGTATGAAGACCTCTTTTTAACATAAAAAAAAATTGTGGACCCCCATGTGGTAATAGTTGTACTATTAGTATCCATTGAGAAAATACATGACACAAAGCTACTATAAATTCAGGAATGATTTTAAATGAACTTGTATTTTATTAATCACAACATTTGGGGGAAAATCACAACATTTGGGGAAAAACATATTTGCAAGACATATTAAGGTACATCCCAGTTGTTTGGAACAAAGGGTTTCTTGCAGTAACTACTGCCTATCAAAATAAGACCGTACAGGCTGATGACTTGATACAGTATAAGAAGGCTTCATATGTTTGCATATTTTGGAGTTACTGGCATAGCTGCCTAGAACGATCCCTTTGCTAACATAGCTAGCCATTAGTTTGTACTCTTGGGAATGATCTTGAGCTCTCAATGAGCTTTCCATCCTTGACAGCAATTGGGAACACTTATTTTATTTTGAACCCTGTTTTTCAGTGGTAAGTTGGCTCCCAAAGGAACTCACAGGTATTGGAATCTAACACAAGTAATGATTAAAGGGCAATGCAAAATGTTCTTCTGGAGAGAATTATGCTGGATTCAGGCATGATCAAGGGATGCCTGGCTGCTCCCCCATGCCTTTAGCGATGGCACTTCCATTCATGAGGGTTCTCCTTATGAATAGTCAAGCAGCCCTAACTGGGCTGGTGCACAGTTGGGAGCCTCTGGCTGGGGCTGGCCCAATGCCACTGCCTGGATGGGAGCTTGGAACAGGTGGACCCAGTTGGGGAGGCATGGCCATGCTGTGGCAAGCAGGTCCAGATTACCAAAAACAGGAGGGGGGGTATGGTCACCATGGAGGCAAGCCTGGGGGGAGATGGGAACCCACCCAAGCTGGATGGATTGGTGGACCCCCAAGAGTCCCTGTCCTACATGTTAGAAAACACTGCTTTATGAGACAGCCATGTGTGTGTAGCCATGCATCATTAAGATGTGAATTGGAGCTAGACAGATCTGACTGCATGCCACAAACTACTGGGAAGTTCTCCTGTTCAAGTCCTGTTGATAAGAGAAGCTGTACAAAAGCATGTATTTTGACTATGGCTCCTTGGAGAGACCCTCCATAAGAGCCATGGCAGAGCTGATACCATGTTAATGCTAGTATGTAAAAACCTATTAGGTGTAGAGAGATGCCCTCTTAAATACAATGTGGGATTGAGTACAATTTTCTTATTTGTTTCAGCTGTCTGATCAATATGTATAAATACTTGTAGACTTGCTTCTTACTATAGATCCTAATGTATATTAAGAATTCCTTATTGGAAGGAACAAGACTTCTTTCAACCCCATCTACAAGCAGGCTTTGAGTTTTTTTTGTCAGAGTAGCAGAGTATATCAGAGAGTGCTAACTTCTGAGTGTCCAGGGTTAGGTGGTCATGGTTTTTTACCCCAATGTGTTCTCTCTTCACATAGATAAGCAACACAGTCAATATTCAAAGCTCCTTCTAGCTTCCAAGGTTCAAGTGCTGCAGGAGGTAATTGCAGAGGAGAAGGTGGCCCTCCTACAGCAGTATGAGGAGGACAAGTACACACCTGAAGCATGTTTCATTGAAGCAGCCATCCAGGAGCTGAAGGCAAGACCCCTTTAATTATTACTTAATGTGCTGTTGTTGTTGGCTCTGTGTTTTATAGCATACCTATTAATATAGGTATTTTGAGATGTTTCTTTATATTACCTTTGCAAAAAATTGAAAATGTTCCCCTATTCTGAGGGAGATCGGGGAGACTTAAACTAATAGGAGTGAATTTTCTGTAGCTCTTGCAAGTTTACTCTGTATTTTCAGGTTTGTATTTCATCCTTGGCGACAGCCCTGTAGGAATGCATTAAGTTAGTTTGGAAAGAAGTAATAATGAGTTTAGTATCACTTCTGCCTGTGCCTATTTCTGGATCCTCTGCTTAGCTTCAGGGCTTGGGACTGGTGCATGAGGTATTCATGGACAAAATGCAGTTGAGGGCTCCATAGCAACCAGAAGCAACACATTTGAAGCCAAGTAAATTTGCATTTTAAAATCTAAGTTTCATATAGTGTTCTGTGGACAAGTTTAAAGTTCTGCTGGAACATCTGCCTACATTCGTGGAAGCTTGAGTCAAAACAAAGTTGTTTCAAAGACCTATTTTGCTTTTGATGTATAATCAAAATAATAATGTATGGACCAGAGACATAAAACTTGTTTAAGCTTAGACAGTGTTGTAGCCACTGAAGAATGTAGTATGTCCTTACAGAAAGTTGATGGAAAGGTGAAATTCACCTTTTGCCATACAGCCATTACTAATAGACTGTATCTCTCATAACCCTTAGACAAGTAAAAGATTGAACATTTTTCCTTAAATCATGATATAGGATCGAGAGGACTCCTTGGTCTCTGGCAGAAATAGAGATGATGATGTTGCAGAGACCACAGCAGCAGTGGAAGAATTAGTCCTGATGGACTCCTCTGACAAAGAAGCAACAGGGGCCCTGGAGAGAAAGGTGAGAGCTTGTGTGATCTTATAACACTTTCCTTCTCAGTTTCTGTTGTTGTTGTTAGCCATTCAGTCGTGTCCGACTCTTGGCAATTCTGTGGGCCAGCTCTCTCCATGTTTTCTGATCTTGTACTGTTTTGTTGAGTTGTTCCATACTCAGGCTGGTGTTGACTTTTATGGTGTCTAGCCACCATGTTCATTGGCAGCCAGGCTTCCTTTTGCTGCTATTCAATCCAAGCATAATTGCTTTTTCTCCTGAGTTCTTCTGCATGACATGGCCAAAATAAGTCAGTTTTGTGATTTCCCCCCCCCTCCAGTGGCATGTCGGGTTTTATGTGCTCCAATACTTGTTTGTTTGTCACCTTTGCTGTCCAAGGAATGCACAGGAGCCTTCTCCAACATCACAGCTCAAATTAGTTGATTTTCCTCCTGTCTGTCATCTTCATGGTCCAGCTTTCTCAGCCATAGGTTGCTATGGGGAACACAATAGCACAGATTAATCTGCATTCAGTTGCTAGGCTGGTGTCCTTGCTCTTCCATATTCAATTCATGCTCATCATTGCTATGCAACGTAGTGTGATTTGACGTTTTATTTCTGGACTATATTTGCTGTTTTGGTTGATCTGTGAGCCTAAGAAAGTGAATTCTTCCACACATTTGATCTCTTCATTGTCAACTGTTGTTTTGACATTTATGTTCTTCTTGGTGGTCATGAACTTGGTCTTTTTGATGTTTAGGAAGAGGCCAAACTTCTCACTTCCTTCAAATTCTAAAACACTTCTAATGGTGCTAAGGGAACATCTCTGGGGTTCCACTGCTTATGAGAAGATTTGTACACTGGGCTTGCCATTTCCTGGGGAGTCTAATAAAATCCCATTAGTGTTTGCAGAGGTGCCACTTTGACACATGACAGGAGTATAGTGGCAGCTGGTTCTTACGGCTTGTTTGGGTGGGTGGAAGAAGATGGATGTTACAACTTCTTTCTTCTATAACAGTGTGTTCTTGAGTATCGTTCTGCTTTTGATGAAGAGGTCCTGGAACCTCCTCCTGAAGATTCTGCCAGTGCTATCCTGCCCCCCTCTGAGACTGAAGAGGAGGCAGTGGTGGATGATACTGAAGATTCTGTGGACACAGCAGGCCCAAATGAACTGGGTGAGGCTGGTCTGCCTGAAGCTGCCTGTGAGGAATCGCAGTTACCTTCAGTGTCCAGCAGTGGGCGCCCAAGTAGTTCTCCATGCTACTATTTTTACCAAGGTTAGTGCAACACATAAAGGTGTTTTTCTTTGGTTTGTAATGGCCTATGGCTAAATACAATAAAACCCTTCTCTCTCTCTCTCACTTAAAGGTGTCTCAGAAAGTGAATGTTGTTCCACCAATAAAAGCCAACTTCATCTTAGTGGAGGGTAGACTCTCATTTAGTAATTGGTGGGAGGGGGGTAACAATACTTAGGTAACACATTGTAGCACAAGCAGCTCTGCTAAGGCTCTGGTCCTCAAAACTAAAGAGCAGGCACACTCAGCAGTGAAGCAAAAAATTGCCAGAAGCCTCTTAGGGGCAGGCTTATGCTATGTCAAAGGGGCTTACAGAAGTTGGATATGGCTTTGTGCCTTTCAGGCTGCCATCTGACCTTGTCTTATACACTCAGAATGTTGGGTCCCAGAGGTGAATTGCAGGCTGCAGACCTGAAGAAAATAGGTTATAGTTTAGTACTGTGATGCCTGACATAAGGGAAATCAGATTTTTTTTCTGTACTATGTTGAACATGAGGATGTAGCCTTACAGTAAAGGACAATTGTATAATTGAGATGTATCTTAAGATTTCTGTGTATTTCAAAAATTGTGGGACATGGGTAATAGGGATGTGCAAAAAAAAAAAATTCGGTAAAATTCGGATTCGGGTTTATTGGACCCGAATTTTTTCGGGAAACCCGAAAAAAACCGAATATCTATACCGGTAAAGCATAGATATCTGAAAATTTTCGGGAATCCCGAAAAATTTGGGTCCATTGTAACCAATGGGGCCATTGAAGTCAATGGCAAAAATCCTCTTGAAACTTTGCGGGGGGCTGGGGGGGAGGGGGTTTGTTTTTTTCGGGAAACCCGAAAAAAACCGAATATCTATACCGGTAAAGCATAGATATCTGAAAATTTTCGGGAATCCCGAAAAATTTGGGTCCATTGTAACCAATGGGGCCATTGAAGTCAATGGCAAAAATCCTCTTGAAACTTTGCGGGGGGCTGGGGGGGAGGGGGTTTG